TCGAATTAATAATTCTGAAACAATCTTTCTCGAAAATTTCTCGTGTGTTCTCCTTAAAATTTTCGTGCAGGATTGAAATATTAATAGTAATCAAAATATTATTTTCAACATAGTCCCCAATTATTATTTTTGCAATTATGTGAGCATATCAGACACATTTTAACCAAATGTTTCTTGCGAATCAACTTTTTCAAACGATAATTAAGTCTTTCATTTTTTTGCGATTTAAATGGTAATACGAAACTGAGGTCTTCTGAAACAGAAGAATTTAATTTTTTTTTTAAATCAGCGACTGAAGATTCGTGATTCGGTGAATTTACCTGCACGAAAATTCAAATTATGAATTTTTTAGCAATTACGAGTACCAATCTTGCCACTTTTCTATATCTTATACTCGATAAGTCATTGTTGTCCTAATAGTATTATCAATAGTTTAAAAATGGTTGTCATAAGAAGAATCACAATGCTCATCATTAACGCGATAAAATTATGCTAAATAGGTACTGTCCCTTCTTTTTTTTTTTTTTTTAATTAATGATTGCAAGAACGTGGGGATTTTAAAATCCCACGTTAGTTGATAAAATCCCGTTGGTTGTGAACATGATAAAACGGTCCTGTCTTACTTATACACAATGTATGCGATAATGCAATGTTATATTTTGGCATGACATTAATAATAATCGCGTCGATCGATATAATCATCACCCTTCGTGAAATCTATCAACAACGATAATGGCTGCCTAGCGCAACGCATGTTCAATATGTAACTAGAGTTATGTACAAGGAAGTGTTTGTGACACATATCGATGTCTATATATAGCACTCACGTGAGATTATTCACGGTATACCGCGAGTAAACACGAGTAAATGTATAGTACGTGCGAAAGTGCGCCGATAATAAAGATTGCAACTTTATTTTTTTCTGAACGAGATAGTTAGAACGCTTGAAGGTACACTTGGAACTTGATCGCCGAAATAGGGCACCGGTTTATGCTTCCGATCGATGAAAATGTGGCTAAGTTTTCAGCTAACAAAGTTCAGAATCGACTATTATCCGCTACGAGTTGAAAACAAACAATATTTTCCATTACGCGGCCATATTCGATCTTTTTTGATTTTCTTTGCTCACGAGACTTTCCTATCATATACGGATACTATCTGCATATGTATGTGACAAAAATAACTCACGGAAGTCTTTCTAAATCGGAAAGGATTACTCTTATTCGTTTCGTTGCAGCAGCAAAAAGACAATTGCGAAATTTGTTAGCGAAGCTCACGTTTCCGACCGAAATTGTAAACAGATGCCCAAGATAGTAACTTTATTGGCACTTTGACAGAAAAAACTTACGTAAGAAAGACATTTCCTTGTGCCTACGCACAATAACAATTAGTAATCTTAATTGAACGACAGCAGTTATAAAATTTAATAATTAAACTGGCTAAATAATCTCCGCATATAACATCACATAAAAATTTCTCTATAACAACACATAGATACTTATCGAACACTCATGACTTTTAACATTTCATTTTAAATAAAATATAAATATTTTCGCGAAATAAGATTATCTACGCAATGGCCAATCAGATTATATCTAAGGGAGGATCAAGAATTATCAGAATAGAGACGTTAGCCGATCATAATTTTCTATTTTTGTACACTCTAGAAAATATTCTTCCATGTTATACGACAGAGCTGTCTAACTTTGACATGTGATTTTTTTCCATGCAAGAGAACAAACGGGGACGAACAAGAAAGAAACTAACTCGTGAACGCTTAGACAGCTCTGCTATACGACCGTCTATGTATACACGTTGAAATTCCGAATTACACGAACCTTTTATTTCTGATATTTTAAAATCGATTGCATCGACGTCAACTATCGTCCTGTCTGCATGATTAGCTCAATAATAATAATTTTTTTCACAACGTCGTCGTAGATTATAATCTAGAAAGAAATATTAGCTAATTAGGGCTAATTACATAAAGGTTGTCGATGTAATCGATTCTCATTCGTCGCGCGATCTTTTCGCAAATTGGCACAAGGCTTTAATAAGAAGTGGGCAACTTTTTCAAAATGACCGACTATATTACTTTTCCGAAGCTGTCTCGTGAATTAGGATAATCTTTAACAGAAAGATGAAAATATTACTTGAAAATTTCAAATTTCATGTTTATATGACCGACTATATTACTTTTTCGAAGCTATTTTATGAATTGTGATACTCTTTAATAAGATGAAAATATTACTTAAGAATTTAAAATTTTACATGTTTACATTGGATATTCGTTGAATTTTATTCATAAAATAAAACTCACGCTAAAAACGCAATTAGTCTATACTATATATTAAAATTAAATATAAAATTACTAATGTATATTGATTTTTCAATGAGTTTCTTTAATTTATTGAATTGTATAATTATTTTAAATATTCATTCGACAGGCCATTTTGCATTAATAAAAGAGGCCTTGCGTTGCCCACGTTAGATTTAGATCGTTCACGACGAAAAAATGAAAAAGTTGGAAGAAGAAGAATTGGCATTTAAATCACAGAGAAAATCGCGACGATACACAGTTGAAATCGAAATGGAAATTGAATAAATTTTAATCTTTTGAACGCAGCTGTATCCTGTCGATATTACATGTTGAAAAAACGATTGTTTTATAGAAACATATTTTTTTAAAACAAATTTAATTAAATTCATACAAATTAAATTCATACGAATTAAAAAGAAAAGACACTTTGAAATATATAATTATACGAAATAGTACAAACAATACAAATTTTTACAATCATAAATTTTATAAAAGGATTTTATAATTTAATTTGTTTTAAAAATAAAAGCAAGATTTTAAACAAGAACTTCAAATGAGATTTTACATGAAATAAGATCAGCTGTCGAAAATTATCGTGTTTGTTCAAGCAACTATAAATTTTAAACTTATAGTCGCTTGAACGAGCAAGAATATTTAGATCCTAAAGAACATTAATTACGGATTGTGACAGTGATATGCTCTGTCTAATTATAAAATCATCCGCAAAAGATGGATCATGAATACTTCTACTATTCTTCCATCTTTCTTCCGTTTTCTACCGTATCTTTAAACTTTTAATGGTGAGTACTTGTTTTCTCACTGGACGCTTCGTAGTTATCAAAAAAAACCTACATAATATTCTGAAATAATTGTCACGGTCGTAACGAACGTGCGTTTAATGTTACTGCGTTTAATCGTGTTTATTAAAATACCGATCCGCAATTCACACGGTTAATCCATCTTTGAACTACATCTAAAAAGCAAAAATCTAAGGGAACCTTTTGACTCGATTGCATTTAATTTAACGGAGAATTCTTAAGGATCAATCAATCGTGCAAATTGAGAAATACACTCCTTCTTTTCCACGTTCTACATGTCTATGAAACAACTACGTCTACGATACAATAGTATCGCGTGTTGAAATATCAAGACAGCGAGCAAACCATAAACGGTACTTTTCAGAGGCATAAGATGCACACATGATTTGCGGATCACTCGGAGATTATAGTCGAATCGACTTTTAACGATAGCTATAATTCGATAAGAATAACGAGCTCGATATTTACAATTAGTTGGTCGCACGTAGTCTTCGAGGTTCGCAGACATTTGCGAAAAGAGGATATAAATATTCAAGTTTTTTTTATCATTTTAACGAAGATAAAACGCCGATGTCGTACTATTTTCTGAGTGTGTTTGAGAGTAAACCCTGGTTGATCGGAATGCCTACATGCGTTTCATTCTAATATCGATTTACGGTGGCACGGCCTTAAGTGGCACTATTTTCACTTGTCAAGAATACAAATACGAGCGCGGTCTGCTTCGTCGCCTTTTCGAAAGGCGAGATTTTTCGAGAAAAATTTCTTTTCTCGTATACATTTGATTAGAAACGCGCGGTCCGCACGTCATGGGTTTTTTTCACATTTGAGCTAAAAAAGATCGCTTTGCACGGCGGGAACATTAAATTTGCAGGTGCAGAAATGCATCCGAAATTCTTTTAATAAACGCAAAGTTAAAAATAGATAAATGTATATATATATATATATAATACATGTATATATAAATTTCGCTCAAGAGATCCCGCCTCTTTTTTTTTATTTATAATGCGCGTCAACGGAATCCTGATTTCAAACTACTCTGGTCATGTGTTACTATAGATATAAATGTTGAATAAAAATATAGAGGCGGACAAGAGAGACATTGATCTGGAATTATATTAATATAGTTGATATGTATATACCCTTTGTATAAGATTTATATACCTCGCTTGGCAAACAAACAAAATTTGTACATGCGTATGTAATTTCAGATTTATTTTAGATTTATATAAATTATTATTTTAATATCCGTAACGGAATTGAAAACTATAATTTAGTTATCGAAAAGTTTGATAAAGCAGACTCTTTAATGAAAATGAAATATTATAATATATAGTTAAAGTATCCGTGTGAAATTTTGGCAAAGAATACTTGAAAATTGAGCTTGAATTGATTTTCGGCTATTTGACAAGCGAGTTTGTTTGCTTTAATACTCATAGCAATGATTAGAATAAACGGAAAACAGCGATATCTTTATGCTATTGATTGTCAGAATTCAATTTCTAGTCCTTCCACTCATCGATTCTCTTAAACATATTCATTTGAACTGCTTATATATCTTGTATAATAATACTGGCTCGATTGAGCTAAACACGATTGGGCTAAACTAAAATCAGTGAGTAACTCTTGTCTTCACCGAATCATTCAATCGATGTTAATGACAACCTTCAGTTTGTAAAAAATTTAGGAAATTCTGTACCATTTATTGGACAGATAAAACTGACCACATTTCTGAATAAGATTATTAGTTTGTAAACGACATGAAGAGACTAAGCATAATCATATTTTGTTAGAAAAAGTTTTTCTGCATTTATTATTAATTAACTTTCTTTTCTTATCTTCAACAGATTTTATAACCATATATTTAATTTTCCGGCATCTACACTCGTATTACTATTAAATTAATTTTTGCTAAAATGTACAATCTTTTTGTCAGCTCTCTCCAATGCAATGGATTACGATTAAAACAGGACATTTCTTATCTCACAATATGGTAGTAACAGGGCATAAATAATTAAAAGATAGCAGTTCTAATATATAAAAAAAACTCAATTTTGCTATTTGTTTTCTGCAATCGTTATATCTATTGATAAACAATTAATAAATAACAATGATAAATTTCTTTCCGTAAATCAGAGATCAATTCCGTGCAAAAATGAGATCATTGTCGAGCTTATTTATTTAACTCTTGCACAGATAGTAAGTAAAACGAAAATGACAACAGAAGTTAACGGACGTTACGTTATAAGCGAAGATGGGCAGCAATGGACGGGGCTGATAACACGACGAGTCGTATTCGCAAACGATCGGCCGGTCGTGACAAACCCTTCGAATTTAAATTTCCCTTCGAATTTAAATTTCCCTTTCTCCTTTATTATGAAATGACGATAGAGTTGTGTCGCTTTACGATATCTCGGGACAAAATAAATTTATTTTGTAGACACGTTGCTGACCGAAGGGGGTAGATCAATTAAAGCAGAGCTACTCAACCTGGACGTTCTGGGCTCGAGCTCCAAGGACATACGGTACAGATCCTTTTCATTCAGCAGGAGCGACGTGTCCAGCAGGTAGTTGGTTACCTTGGTGACTAACTCGATCTTATAAGGGGTTTGTTGAAAATGACGTATCTCGCGAATCACGTGAGAAATCTGAAAAGGCATATGTCCTATTATAAATTTGTTCACTAATATGAATAATAAATAGTATCATAAAATAATGAAATAACAATATCATTGAGTTAGATTAGTCATTCTATGTTCTCTTAATTTACATGAAATAGATTATGAAATAGAAAAAATATAAAAAAAAGTGTAAAATATTAATCTTAATATCTAATAATAATTTTTAATAATCTTAATAATTAATGAATAATTTGAAAAAAATATCGCTCACCATTCGCATTTTCGAAAAATTCAAAAGACCCTCGGTGACGTTCGGAGTACCCTCTTCGATGAACGAGAGATCAGTGAGATAAAGACCCAGATAAGGGATGCAGGGTGGATCGCATCGGTGCAAGGCATCTCGCAAATTTCTAAAGCGCCCATCGGATGAGACGATGTGCTGTAGTCTTTCTATCGTCTGCTTTGTCTGAAAATTAATGATAATTGCAACATAATCCCATTTGTCAGTAATATAATGTTTTGTTACACGACAAAGAGTTGCAAAAATTGATTTTTGCTGTCGGCAGCATTTATTGATTATATAAATTCATTATTAAAATCATCGAAGTTACAAATTGTACTTGCAAATTATTATTAATTTCAAAAAGTTTCAGCTTACCGTTTTCGAAACTTTGTCCCAAGTTTTCTTCAATCTGTACACGCTGCTGTTTGTGAACGCCGCGCAAATTTGTAGTACGCCATTGTAATTATGCAAAACCCTATTGATATCGGCGACGGCTGCCCATTTTTCGATAGCCGCGACTCTGGCCGACATGTTCGAGCGACGAATAATCTCGGAAACAACCAACTGCGAAACCTCATTAAATCTCTTCGTCATGAGAAGAATGTGGGGCGCGCGGGTCGCCTTGTCCGTTTTCATCCATGCTTGTCCAAGAAACTCTCTGTGAAATAAATTCCTCTGTGTATTCAAACAACAGCAGCAGTACGATTCAGCAGTTACTTACTCGCTGGCAATAGAAACAAATATATGATGATCCAGATATGTCATCTGTTCCGCGATCTCGAGCGCAGACAACGTCTCAATACTCTCCTTACTTGGAATCTGTAAGGATAATTCATTGTCGAACATTAATCCAGCTGAACTTCAAACTCGAATCACATATTGCACATACTGAGAGAAAACAAAATAGTTCTGACAACTATATTTATGACTATAATTACGAAATTTTAATATCTGCAATTAGTTTCTCAAAGTAATAAAAATGAAAGTAGTATTGAATAAAAATATAATCACAGTAGCAATATATGTGAATTATTAATTGATAGTGAAATAGCGACTCAACTAATAATTACATTACAGTTATATAGACTTTATACAAATAGAATATGGCATTACATTTTTCCAGTTTAGACAAATATTATTGTGAAGTAAGCATAATGTCATTGAAAGTTTAAAAAATACATACTGACAATAATAGTATACAATAGTATACAATAGTATACAATACATTAGTTTATCTAAACAATTTACTACAAGTGATATTATATATATTAATATTATTATATATTCTTGATTCATATAATTTACTAATTGTTCTTATTACAACTTATACATAGTTAAGGCGCTATTTATATACAAATTTCTAGTTGCTAGTACGACCTTTTTCTCTAGGTATATCTAATTAAATTCACGCGTGTTTAAAAATCCATGAATGCCTGGCATATTTTTTTTTTTTCTAAATGTAACTACGTAGAACAGATAATTTTTTGTTGTTACGCCTTATACTCTATCACTTTTATCAGATAATATCGGATGAATAGATTATCTCGTTTACTTACTGCTGGCGGAGTCAGCAGTTTCTTCAGGTCAACTTTGTTGCTCTCAGTTTCTTCCTTGGTAATTAATCTCAAAAGTTGTGTGGCCGCCTTGTGTTCGGCCGGTAATAGATTGGGGCTGTAATTGATATCCTCCAAGAACTCGATCGTCATAGTCTTCAAGTTCTGATCCATCTCGAAGTCTTGAGCGTGTTTGGATACCCAGTGCCTCAGGACATTTAACACCCTCATTGTCGCGGCGGTCGACATTACCGATTCCTTGCGTCTATTCTTATCCCGACCACGATTATTCCCATCGTTTGCGGTAGGGGGTCCTTTGTCCGGTGGATTGCTCGAGGCGGAGGTCGCGATAGCAAATGCGGTCGCCGCCGTGGACGTGCTGCTCCTGAATTCGGAAATTAATTTCAGTATCGACGAATATTAATGCACGTTATTAATGAATATCATAATCATATTCAAGAATACAAATCAGAGTTCTTATTGATCGAGTCTTTTGTTTCATCTTGATGATCTACGCGTCTGTTGTTCTACGCTCTACGTTGCATTAGGCGAATTTATGTTGTTTTGATTTGTCAGTCAGGTCATTCGCGATGCAACTCGCATTTGCAAAACATGCTACTGTGCCGAAGAAACTGCACAGGAGAAAGTAGTTTCGATGATTATTATTATTTTTAAAAAAAAATTTTTTCTTTTCCCTTTAACAATAGTAGATTATTGTTATGTAATGAGCATCGTGAATGATTTAAACGAATAGAGTCTAATGTGCATCCTGATTTTGCAAAAGATGTTTTGAGATATCGACAAGTCAGCAGTGTAGTTACTTTTTATTTGCTTTAGTTTTTACTATTGTGCCGCTACAAAGTACATATTTGGAATATGGATTGTAACTGGCATACTTTCGGCGAATTAAAATATAATGTTGTAGATACAAAACAATGCATCCGTTCCGACTGTCATCTCTCTAATGTCACGAATAAATAAAGACAAATTTATTAGTAAAATATAAAAATCCGATTCACCAGAAAATTCACCAGAATTATTGCCGGTTTCAATCGTTTTTTTGAAATATCCAGCACTATAAGCACGCATGTCAAGTGACAGAAGGCGGCTATCGGGTAAAAACTATTTCTATTTCGTTTGGTTTGTTCACTCGTTCGCTATGGTGCATTCTCTAAACGAGGAAAAAAAAAAAGATTGGGTGAATTGAATTGGGTGTGTGAACGAATAAATGGCGCGGGGAAAAAGCGATGTGTCTTTGGGAATATATTAGAATTAATTTTTCGAAATCGATAGCCAAGTTTCGACAAGACGCAGATTCACAGTAATAACATAAGACAGACACTTAAAGTTTCTTAACGATACCACAAGCAGAAGGATCGTAGCCATGCTACATGTAACAAGTTGATAATGATGCTTTTCAAAATGAATCCACTTACCAGATAGGTTCAGGTCCAATGCTATGAATGACACAAAACAATACATGAAATACAGTTGAGTAGAAACAGCAGCGGGAGTATCTTCTTGATCTAGGGGTTTTCTCACTTTGGTTTGAGCTTGAAGACGGCGATAAAAATATAATTTATTCGGGCAAAATGAAGTAAAAATTTCGAATCGGATGAAACTTCTTGCATTATAATTATTAGTATTTCGTTACTTAAAGAAAAATAAAGATACATAAATATGTACAAATTTAGTCAAAAAGCATATATTGCATCAAAACAAGTTATATTATTTATAAAACGGTTTTAATAAAACAGATATAATTTAATATATTTACAATATATTTACAATTCTTCGAAAGAATGAACGAATACAATTGAAATGTGATCAAAAATTTTTGCATTATATCGGGTTTTAAAAAAAATAAATTTTTCCAGAGTGGAGAAATTATGTTAACTCTAAATTATTTACTATCTTATGAACTAAACTATTAGAAAATACTAAATGCTCTATAAGACATTATCTCTAAAATTTCTCCCTTCAAGAATGATTTTAATTATAATTCTGATAAATAAAACATGATATCGAGAAGAAGCTCTCATGCGTTAGAAGACAGAAATTGCCATTTACGGTACTCAACATTCAGCAAGAACGAAATAGAGATAATTTTTATCGATACGAACGTCTTTGAAAATTTTAGAGGCACGATAAAATGCAGGTACGGTAATAATAATAATAATAATAATAATATTAGAGCGAACCTTCGATGACTCTGCCGAAAGCTCGTTATCACCACACCAGCCTTACTGGACACCTGAGCGTCATGTTGAAAGTTGCTCTGCTGTGAGGAAATGTCGTCATGCATCGATCGCCTGTTTGACCAATAATTCTGCAAATCCATTGCAAAATTAAAGACACTCGTTGCCGTGCACAAACAGTTCCGATTATTATATAAATTCTCATACGTTTTGACAATTCGTAAACATTCAAACCGTAACATGTAGATTTTGAAAATCTTTGAATGTGTTGTTAGGAAAAGAAACTTCTTTTTTTTTTTCTTTGATTGCATTAATTTAATAACTTTTCGAAGAAATTTTTAGATCTTGTTAGTCATACATACGCCAGTTATGGTGGAGACCGAACCGCTCCTTGCAGTGGATGCTGGAGCGGAAGCGACCGATGCTCTATGCTGTTCCGAGTATTGTTGCTGCTGATTCTGCTGTTTAGGAGACATCACACTCTCGTCATCGTTCGACGATGTAGTTGCTTCTTCTTTATATTCTTTAATTTCCTTTCGTAACGGAGATATAGGTGTTTTCGGTGTTTTCGGCGTTTTCGGTGTTCTCGGTGTGTCCGGTGTTTTTGGCGTATTCGGCACGTCCGGTGTTTTCGGTGTTTTCGGCGTGTCCGGTGTTTTCGACGTTCTCGGCGTTTTTGGCGTTTCTGGCGTCCTCGGCGTTTTCGGCGTTTTCGGTGTTTTTGGCGTATCCGCCTTGGTAGACTCGGCTGATTGCAACGATGACGGTATGTCGTCATAAGTAAATTGCACTTCTATAATTTGTTTTGCAAATGTGTACATAGATTAATTTAGAAAAACAAGTGATATGATTAGATTATAATTGGTTCATATTTCATCAAAAAGTTGTTTTGCGAAATATTTTTCGTGAGATATTTTTTAAGCAGACTTTTTTTTTAATTTATACCTTTTGCATTTTCTTCCGTCACAGGAGTATCAATTTCCGAGATACGACGTGAATAAGTACCTCCCTCTTGAGGACTTGGATCTGATCCGGATCCAGATCCGGATCCTGATTCCGTTGAACCAACTAGCGTCACGGAGCTTAAATTACTCGGCGAGGACGGTGCACTCATTACTGTAACATCTTATAATCCAAATCTCTTACATATAAAACTTTATTAAATAATAGATGAAATATATATTTTATACATACATATACATAATTCTATATAATATAAATATAAATATAATATTTAGAGACGAAGAAAAAGGAGAGTTTCTTTCTCCAATATTCGAATAATTTTAAAAAAGATATTAGGATAGGAATTATTATGAATAAATAAATTTATATTATATAAAATTTTGTAACTTTGCGGGCTTGGATATCAATGCATGGATACCTGTGAGCGTCTCGGAACTGGATGACACGGCTATTACTTTCGGTATTGTTAAATGACATCCGTCATCGTTTTCGTCCTTGTTATCTACGCGAATGCTAATTTTTCGCGGCATGACTGGAGATTGCAATGAGCTGGATGGACTGGACGCTTGTGATGTTGGGCTACGTTTTATTACCGGAGCCTCGGAGATCAGTCCAAGAGGTTGTTCCTCTTCCACTAAGGGTAAGAAATTCTAAATTCTATTCCGTTGCGCAATTATTTAATTTTTTTTCAGTTAAGTTTAGCTACATAATATTTTATTATAATAGTGGCAATAGAGGGCTGATTCAAATTCGAGAGCTCCGGGGAGAGGCTCCAAAGGGGATTCGAAATGGTTGCGTTTCGATATTCATTATCAGTACTGAAACTCTATAATAAATATACAGACTATATTTTTAGTATTAACAATAAATATCGGAACGCAGCTGATATGTGTTAGAGACTCACGCTTTTTGTAACCAGAGCGCCAATGACTTTTCGAATTGTATCCACTCGCATTAGCGTCTAAGGATTTCGCGTCACGGCTATCGCTCACTTCTGATCCATATCCTACGATTAATAATTAAACGCCACAATTAACTTATTTTTTTATTAATAATATATTAATTGTTGCTTGATATTTTTCTTATGAAGTTTAATGTACGCACCTGATACCGAGCTTGCACCACTAGTCCGTCTCGGTGAAATGCTACTTTTTCTTCGATCCTCGGAATACGATTGCGATTCGCTTGCATTTGCTCCTAATACGTCTAGAGATCTGGTATATAAAAATATAAATCAGACCGTATTTAGAATAATTATTAACATATAGAAATAATGTACGTTTTCTAAAAATAAAAAGATAATAGTAAAAAATAATATTTCACAAAAGAAAAAACAGTTCTTTATTACATATAATATATTATCAAATCTCTTGATAAATCAATTAATTTATATATAATCATAGTCCGCTATTTAATTCCTAAAGTTACATCTTTAAATTAATTTGAAGCTAATAATTGTTATAACTTGTAATATTTATACTTACACGAGGGATCCAGTGGGCATTTGTGCGTCAGGCGGCTCGGCATCATAGAAAACTTTCTTGAGGGCCTCCAGCACTGTGACGCCGTCGGTGAATACTCGATACGTCAGCAGAAACGTGTTGAGAAAATCGATACTGAGAAATCTGAGGTCGGTCAGTCGCTGCAACAGGCGCTCAGGCGTCGCGGAACGGATCTGCGGTATCTTGCAAGAGTTCAAGGTACGGCTGAATCTGATGTCCACATCATCCTTGAATAATTTCGGATCGTTTCGTATAGACTGCGGCATCGTGACGGAGCTGGTATCCGACAACGATCCGTGAAGCAAATCGTTGAAATGAACGTTGTCCATGCACTGGCTGATGTCACTGACCCACGCTGCTTTTTCCTGCAAAAAAATTTTGTAATATATATATATATATATATATATATATATATATATATATATATATATATATATGTGTGTGTGTAATAACAGAAGCAAGAATAATTTTTATAAAATCTTGTAATTTCGTCATTTTTATTATTTACTTCATATAATTTTACAGCTCGAATATGAAACCAAAGTATACCGATTGAGCTACTTAAGCATTAAGAGCAGTATTCGTAGTCTTGTTTTTTCTGATACATAAGTTTTTGTTATTTATACAAAGAAATTCAAATAAAAAATTATTTATGCCAAAAAGCAATATAAGTGACAATTGTAGTAATTTTATGTAACAATAATAATTGTTTATGAATTTTGCAATGTGCACTTACTTGTATGGTAGGCGCCACTAAGTGAACAGTCACCTGCGGTCCACCAGATTTTATGTCGAGTACAATCTTAAAATCGCGATTCTGCAATTGGGAAGTGCCGCTGCCGCTACCGCTTCCGCTGCTCTCGCTAATGCCGCTTGACATCGAACATACTGACATTCCTAAAATTAGTTCACTAGTCGCTACTCTGTAGCACTGAATAAATTGTCACGATCTCTATCATTTGGGACGCCTCACAATATAATAATGTATCTCGACACGGCGAAAACCCAGGAAGGTCTAAATAATTATGACTCGCAATATAACTTATATACGAAGTTTCATATTAAAAAATGTATTTAAAATAATGTACAAAAAAAAAATTCGCATTATACACGAGGTAAATTAATTTTGCCGAGTATGACTTTTTTTTTACCCTATCGATAATCAATTTTTAATTAAAGAGGAAGATCTCCTATTTAAGGAGAAGAAATCCAAGAAATTAGATCATTAGCTTATTAATAATTAAATAATTATATATACCATCATCATCTGTGACACTCTGGTCACTCGGGTCTTCAATTAGCACCGCATCGGAAAGGGGTATCTTGCCGATCTGCGGGACCAGATTTAAACGGCCGTCATCGTCGGATTGACGCGTCGTCAGCAACAAATGATTTGAGAAAAGGAAGCACTGTCTGATGGCCTCTTTGTCGCTTGCGGCTTTGCCGCCGAAAGTAGCGCTTAATCTGCTTCGCGCACCGCGCGGTTTGTCTATGAGTTGTATGAGCGTACCTGAAATTCGCCGATCAAATTTATGTAAAGTGTCATGTCCCTCGTTTTATTAATAAAAATTTTTAATCGTCGAAGGAACAAACTTCGTCAAAGAAAACAGCACCTCATTGGCAGAAATACTTTCATCTTTTTCATCGCGTGTCAATTTTAATACCGATTTAATTTTGCGCCCTTTCTGAAAAAAAAATCGATACAATTAAAGAAAGCTGCCGATGCGGATTTAAAAATAGCAATGGCGTTACATGTTATCGCGCTGAATGCGAAATACGCAATATCGTGCTTGGGTTATGTTGCTGACGTCAATACAGAAATTGAAATTGGCATTGTTTCGTGGAGTTCAGTTTTCGATATTATCACTGAGCCTTTTCCAAGTGAAAAAAGTCAGATAAGATCCAACAAATTTCGTTACATAAAGATTAAAAAAAATAATATAACAGTTAAATTGCTAAGTCAGTTAAGCTTAGATATTTCTTTCTTACGTAACAAATACGCATACTTATAAACATATTGTATATTTACATTTCCGCAGTTTTATTTTTAAACCAAGTCGGTTTTTTGAGGAAAACGATTTTATGGTTGTCTGTCATAAGTTGTGAGTAGCTTGATCATGTGCAGGATTTAACGTCAACATTTTTAAAGTCTTCAACCGAGATTTTTTTTTTTTTTTTCATACAACAGCACACATGTACCTTATTTATATACAGACAAAACAGCTACAGCTGATTCTTATATTCCCGATTATCCTTGGTCCCTGATACCAACGTCACACACATCGCTTGGTCCCGTCTTCTTCACTATCTAAGCTACACTTAACAGATTTGTTGCCAAACTCCCATGGTTCTCATGTGCATCGAGCCGGTTTGATAGACCGACAAAATGGCAATGCCACGGATTGGCAGCCGGTTGTTTCGGCGTTCGTTCGTCGACCTTTAGATAGTCGCGATGTCGCCGAATATCTCCCGCGGATAGAGACAGATTCTTCAAATTTTCGCCCTCGAGCGGAATGAGACGTTCGCGCCGATTGATTTTTCAACGTCGCGATGAAACGGAGGATGTTTGCGTGATGACGTTCGCCGGATGGTCTGCTCTGGCGACCAAGGGACGTTTACCATGTGATGTGGCGTCAAGCACGAGGGTTGCCAGGATCGTGTTTATAAGACCGGTTTATGAGACTCTTATTGAAATAATTTTGTTATATACTACTTAGTATGTTGCCATTTTTAGTAAAAAATGATTTTTAGCGATATTGTATTATGCAATTCTATTCGTTTAAGATTACTTTAATTTTTCATTCTTCTATCTTTTAGATAACAATTTTCATTTTTTAACATATACATATTAATTTTAATTTAAACATCCCCCATTTCAATACTTAGTTCATTGTTCAATATTTTTAACACACATAAGATTTAAATTGTATTAAAATTTGAACGTCTTTAGTACTCAAAATTATAACTGAATATCAGACATTTCATTCCAAATTAAACTTGAAATGATTGATAAAATTACAATTCTCGCAATCTTATGATATTATACCGCTCATTTGCCATCGTATTGTAATTCATAATCCAAAGTTATGTAATAGTATTAGCATAAAAATTTTCCTGACGGAAACCCATTAGTGGTAGAATAGCATTTCGGCCCTGACAGGACACATTGCGCAGGATCGAGATGAGACCGAGTACGAAAATATATCGACCAAGTCGCGTAATCGATTCTGAACTTGCAACTGTGCGTTTGCGCCCTTTGACCCGTGTTTCCGCTTTTCTCTCCGTTATCCCTAACTACGAGGAGGTCTGTTGAGTTTTACCGACAGCGATCAAGTTTAGGAATGAGTTTCCCAGCCAGGGATAAGCCGTGAAAGGATACGCGAGTTATCTGGCAGTCTCGGTTTTATCGACTTTGGCAAAGTACGTTAAATTTTGTAATCTTTGATTTCTTTTCTATACGTAATGCAGAAATAATCTTTCGAGGAAAATACAGTAGCTGTAATTTTTGCATTGCAATAGGAAACTTATTAGATTTCATTTAGAGATAAATAGAACAAAAAGTGCCATCGCTAAAATGCGAAATAATTTTGACTGTTTTATTTTTACACGAATCTATTGCGCTATTTAATATGTTGCGATGTTTAATTCTTTTATTTGAGACAAGTCTTATTTAAAAAAATAAGACCGAAATGTGTTTGCGATATATACGATTATTAGAAAGAACACGAATGCACTTACCCTGTCTGACGAAGACCTGATTGACATCCAATAAAATATCGCACCCTTCGACGATCATTCGCTCCACGGCTAGATTTTTCCTCAGATTTTCAGTTTCGCTGACCTGAAAGATGAGACATATCGGATTAATATTTAGATCCAGGACAAAAGACGATACCTACCTAATTAATTTGACTTTGATTAATTGACAAATACCTCATCATGCATTTGCCTCGAGAGATCCTCCAGCTGTTGCCTGGCATTCTGGAGACTCTTACGTTCCACATGATCATACGGCGTGTGCGCCAATAACTCGTGCAAAGTAATTATATATCTCGGAATCTAAACGAATAAAGTAAGTAACTAGATTAAGGAACTTCTGCTCAAGTTCTACTAAAATCAGAGAAAAAAAAGAAGAAATTAGGAGAATAATCACACGACATAAAGCTCGTCAAATAAATTTTAAGTTTCAATTTTCCGAGAGAAAAGGTGCAAATAAAAAAATTAATTATGTAGGAGTGCGGCATACGAGAGATATCTCATTATATTAAAAAAAAAAACAGATATTAATTATATTTCGCCAGTAAATTTAAAAAGAATTTTCCGCGTTCTGTGAAAATTGTCGGAAGGGCGCGATGGAATGTATATTCTCCGGATCAATTCCACTCATTTTATAAGATCTCGTCAGATCTCATGCAATATTCATGGGAATTTCCAAACTATTTCATACAATCGATCGTTTCCAAAGAGGCATTCATATCACTGTGATCATTCCATTTTTCATCTTCCTTTTTGCCCGGGAATTTCTTGCGGGAAGAACAACGCGAGAAAATTAATACCACGTTAATATGTGTGTGTGTGTGTGTGTGTGTGTGTGTGTGTGTGTGTGTGTGTGTGTGTGTGTGTGTGTGTATATATATATATATATATATATATATATATATATATATATATATATATATATATATATATATTATATATATTATATATATACTATATATATATATATATATATATATATATATATATAGTCCATGCTCCTCTCATAGCAACAGTAATATAAAACGATAGATGTGATTTTTTAAAAACGCTTGTGTTTTGTCGGGCTTCGGCGTTCCATGCACAAGAACTGCATTGATTTCCGCGCGTGACGGTCTTACCTGATGCATGGGATACGTTAGAAAGGTCTCCAGGGATCGTCCGTGGCAGGCAGTCTTGTTCTCCAATCTATTGAGCAACGCCACGAACGGTGACGATTGCTTGCACTCAGTCAACACTTGAAGGCTATAGTGGTGGTTTCTCACGTATTCCTGATATATGGATAACATCGGTAGCAGCATGTCGAACAAGTCACCTGCGTGCATTCGTGACATACCCGATTGCGATCGGTCGATATATGATACATCCACATTGTTTTTTTTTTATTACAAAATATGCATAAATAATAATTTGCATAATAAATTAATATTGTTAGAAGAAAAAAATAGTAGAGGCTTGCGTAGAAAAAGTCTTTTGTCTTTTGGATTTGTTAAGTTATTAGGGATATGAACTCGTCGTCTAATACATCGATTTATACTACTTAAAGTGATTTCAAGTAATCCATACCTAAAACTAAAGTGGGCCAGCTCTCCATACGCGAAGTGAGACCCTTCAAAAAGATTTGATGGAGAAACAGAACGGTTTCGCTATTCAAAAATATGCTATTCACATCCTCGTGACTACATGGGGGTTTCTTTGAACTAGCAGCCATCTTGAAAGGCCTCAGAAAACAGCTCACTAAAATTTCCATTTGCTCCGTATATTCCTCCTCGGCTTCCACCATTTGGAATACCAGGCTGAAATAGTAGGGCACGCGTTCAATACGTTTGGTAGCACAAATTAAACAAAGCCAATAACCATCGGCTTTATTGTTGTTGTGTCATAAATGAATGAAATATGAGGAAATATCGGCTGATTAAGAGAAAATTTCTCAGCGGGAGAAGAACAATGATAAATTTCATTTCATTGGCGGAATAAATATATTACATAAAGTTATTATATGATAACAAAGGGGATATAATTTTATTTTATTATAAAAAAGAATAAAAAGAATAAAAAAGATATATATTTATATATATTTTATATATAATTTATCTGGTATATCATTTTGTCATAGAGACAGAAGAATTATGAAAAGAAGCTGCTCAACAATTTAAATCTTTTTCAAAGTTTGCATTTAATTTGCATCGCGATTATTTTTCACATGATTATATGAGACGCAATTCGCGGAAATTAGCGAAAGCACGGAAAATGACTATTAATGGAAAAACAAACAAACTGTGATGTTATTATCGTACGAGAACGCAAAAACATTTACCTGTTTCGCTTGCGCATACTCTCAGCGTGCGGGCTTTTGATGTACTGTTCCACAATTTGCTTCCAACGTCGTCGACACAGCCAGCCCCTGAAGAAGCTCTGGACCTTCTTGACTTTTTGCATTTCGATGGAGCCCTCCGTGATGTCACGTAATCCGGGAGCGAAGCAGGCGGAACCATGAGCACTGCTACCGTACGGCTGGAATGTATTGTATAAACTTCCGGTACCTTGCGACATGGTTCTTTGAACCGCCGGTCGACTGGTGTACATCGACACTACGGAGGGCCTTAGCTCCTTTTTTAGAGCGCACAGCTGTAACGAGAATCACCACGAGAAAACCATAATCCCATAGACGAAATAATCCCGTGCGCAAACATGTTCCTGTATTCCTTTATAAGGTAAGCCAGATGAGGATGCTCAAATCAAGGAGACTTGGATTAAATTCTGAACGAACGCTTGGATGAAACATTTTTAGTTGTTTTACAAACGTAACAATTTCATTAGCCTTAATATGTTATCAATTTAATTATTAAAATGCAGATGTGAAATCAACGAAAGGATTAAAGTTTACTCGAGTTAAAACGTGAAACTCAGTTTAAATTTTAATTTCGAAAGTACCTCGGAAAATACTTCAATATGTATTATCAGTAGAAATTAAAATCGTATCACGGGATACATGAGATAATTTAATTTAACTAATTTTTGTGACATTATATCGCAAGGAAAAGAATAAGTATATAAAATATAAAGACACAATTTTTTTTTTATTATTTTTCAAAAAAAAATATTGCAAGAATTTTATTTACGTCCGTTATTATATAATATTTTATTACACACGTATGTATTAATATCAATAATAAAAACAAGGTGTAAAATTCCTCGTGCGATATGTAGATTTATTAAAAATTAACTATTCATTACGAACGATCTACTCGTAATACATGTAAAATGTAGTCGGTAGAAATAAAAATTCACGCAGCATAGAGCAAAATTACGGGGAAAAATGAGGTAAATATAACGCAGCTGATATAACTGACCTCCGCTCGAAGCTTTTTTATTTCCGACGCCAAGTCCTCGCATTGCTGGGTGTACTGCCACTTGGCTGTTTTCTCGCTCTCGACGATTTGCAACAGGTGCAAGTGCTTCTGCTCGAGCTCCTCTTTTTGTAGCAACAATTTGTTGAAGCTAGAAAATCAATACCCAAGAAAAAGAAAACTGAGTTAGACTTATTGTTAGTGTGTATGCCTGCATCTCGTGTGCCGCGCTTAAAAAAAGTGTTATTTAAGCGGAGAATCGTGGTACAAAGGAAAATAAAACGTACGATCGTACATGGCCTGGAAAAATGTGCAGAGTGCACATTCCGGGAATTTTGCGCGGAAACGAAATTACGGGTTTTTTTTTTATCTGCAACCGTATGGCGGCAGAGAAATGAAATTCGCAACATTTTCGCAATATTTTTTAACGATTTGAGAACCGATGAAACAAAACTTTGCATGCGTACGTAGTTTGATTGTCTATTGTTTTATTATATATATATATATATATACATATATATATATTTTTTATTTAGTTTTTATCAGAAATTTGCATTCTTTTCTAAGGAAAAAATGATTTCAAGTTGACAAATTTTATATATCATAAATAAAAAAGAAATTTATTAAATCACAATTACTACCTTCAGATTTTTCTGCCAAAAGTCGATTTTTTTAAAACTGAAAATGGTGGAAAACAATAATTTTCAATAGTAAAATTTGACTATTCATTCATGTTTAATATTTTGTCAGTATATACTGTGTTAAATAAACATTTACATTATTATTTAATGTTAAAAATATAGTCATTAAAATTTAGAATAATTGGTTGGAAATTATTTTTCTGCCTCTGCCAGGGCTGGAGATTTGTTTGAGAGAAACCAGAGAGGTAATATTTGTAATTATAATCTATATAATGCTTATACCTTTCTTGGAAAATTATTTTAATAAAATTAAATTACTAAATTTTCTAATGCCAAACAAATTGATGAATTTTCTTAAGATCCTTCCCTCTCTCTCTCTC